TAAAACTTTTTCTTTCAGGATTGAAATTATTAATCTAGTTACTGACGGAAAATCTGAATCTCATATAAATAACTAGATGGAAAAGTTTAACCAACATTGTTTTGGGCATAGATAAATCAACTGTTGGTGACTATGGACTGCTAACCAACCAGAAAAATATTGGGTTTTGCTATGAAGCCAGAAGAGCAACAATACTTTGCTCAGATTTTCCTAAGTTGTGGAACCTTTGAAAAATGGAAAAGTTTTGTACTGAGTCTTTTCTAGAGACTACAGCTACACCTCAACTTTTTATTTTATTTTATTTTTATTTATTTTTGTCAATTGCTTACAAGATAATAGGCATAAGTAGAAACATAGTTATGAATACATGGATACATATAAGAAAAATAAAAACAATAGGACAGGGACGGTAGGCACGTTGGTACGCTTATGCACACTCCCTTGCGTTTATGCACACCCCCTTATAACCATTCATTCAGCAACCATTCAAACTTACCATTGCATTGAACAAAGGGATTTAGGACCTGAAAGTAGAGCCACTGAAATGTCTTAGAATCACACAATCCAAATGTGGGCATTTGGCAGCTGTACTTTCTGATCTCAGGGGCACTGCAACTTCTCTACCTTCCTATTTCCCCTCCTATCTATGCTCTTTTGGCCCCCTAGTGCCCTCATCTCCTCAAACCCAGCTGACCTTCACTGCCATCTCGCTCTGCTGAGGAGGTATGCCTGGCTTGGCTGCTGGGCCCTATGGGGCTGGCTATGTAAAAAAGACCCTAAAAGGACAACGCTATTTAAAGGGAACAGACTGTCCCAAATACTCCTTTTGCTGTGCTTCTGGGCTGTATGGGCTGGTTTTGTGCTGCAAAAAAGGGGGAAAAGATGGAAAACAGTCTCTTTTTCCTCATTTTTTTCCGGTACAAAGTCAGCTCCACACTTGTTATAACAACTACATTGTTTTCCTCAGAATGTAAGAAAGAACCTTCTTCAGTATAGGTTATGTATACAAAGACCACAGAATAAAACTAAATATGAAAGTTATTTTCAAGTAAAACCTTTCTGATTTCTTTGATTTAAAGTTCTCAATTTTTTCCCCTCTCAAGAGGCTTAATATTCCACAGCCCCATCAAATGGATTCAAATTCTTGTTCTACAATTTATGCCATATACTTAGTAATTTGATTCTGATATGAGCAAATTTACTATTTAAATTAAGTACATTCTAACATCAGTGTCCAGGCTTCCCAAATGTGCTTCTGAGAATTGAAGGATGCAGGAGAGAAGAAAAAAGCTTACTCACACAATGTTAGTTGGAATGCAGACATCCACAATATAAAACAGCTTACACAGAGAAAGCAAACAAAAAGGCATACAATTCTAGTATTGTATTCACTGTACAAAATAAAGTTAGGGAGGAAGAATACAAGGCCCACATACAAAATGAAAGATTCATGACTTGGAAGTGCTATACTGGAGAAGGATGTTGATACCACTTATTGACAACATGTTAACATGGATTAGTAGTGTGAGACAGCTGCTGGAAAGACTAATGCTCTTCTGGACAGCATTAGAAGCAGCCCTGGATCAAAGGGATATAAAGCTATTATTCCTTGGCACTGGCAAGACAACATCTTGAATGTTACATATAATTCTGGGTACCACATTTCCTTAAGAATACCGATACAAAAACTATTCAGACCCCCTACAAAGATAATACAGGGCCTGGACTGAAGGACATGTTCTGGGAGGCTCAAGTAACCTGGGAGCTTCAATCTGGAGAAAAGAAGGCTGAGCTGAGACATTATATCAGTATTTAGGTACAGTATATGAGAGGCTGCCATGGGGAACCATATTCCACTGCCATAGATATGAGGACTAAAGTAATCAGAATACATTGCAGCTATCTAGGTCTGATTTAAACACAAAGAAAAGACCTATATAACAGTGGAAGAGTCAACCTATGAAAGTGGAATGCCAGACCTATAGCAGAGTTTGACTGTTTTCCCTGAATACCGTAGGTAGAGGATTGGATTAACGATCCTTGTGGCCCCCTTCCAATTTCAGAATTCCATATCTGTGTCAACCTTCAATTTAACATTTCTCTAAAAACTATGAAGTAATTTTTTAAGGAAAAGAACTTATTTTTAGACAGGTTCTTTTTCGCTGTCCATCAGCTTCTTGATTTTGCACTGGTCATGGAGGAAGACAAGTTATTCCTCATTTCTTTCCATTGTCTTTCAGTCTACTTATTAAAATGTAGTTATTTTTACCATCCTGTTTCATGGCTAATTTCCTCTTTTTCCATGCTGTTCATGGCAGAAGTCAGTACAAAAATGCAAGTCCTGCATTCTCCAATTCAATATATTTTACACCTCTTATAGCCTATAGCTGAGGACAAATAGGAGCTGAGGAAGATTACAATTAATTTTTAGCTTTACAAAACTTCCATAATCCCCACTTAAAATGAAAATGATAATGATGAGCTTATATTCCTGAAGTCTAACAGGATTTAAGAACATAAATTTCTTGACTCACATCTGTTGCCTTTCATTATCAGTCACAAACACTGGTATACTACTGTATGAAAATTATTTTGAATAAATACTTTTTTCTTATATTACACTCATCCTGAACTCAGAGAGGTGCTTTGGATGAAAGGCTGAGTTACCTAGCATGCAAAGATCACTCCAAGCTTGTGGATTCCCCTTCCTCTGGATGCTTTTGGATCCTCTTCTCTCTTCTGCCAAGCTTTTAATAAAGGTTATGTTAACATTAATTTATATTAAGCCTTTTTAAACCTTTTGTCTTCTGTTTTACTAACTGTTGGCCAACTTGAATAACTTGAATAATTAAGAAAAAAGGTAGGATACAAACTGAATGAAAGAAAAAACAAAGACTTAGATACTAAGTAGTTTAAGAGAAAGGCAGCTTATCTAGAAGACCTTTCCCATGATTATGATTCCTACCTCTCCATCTGTCAAATGTGCCCCTAAAAGGCCTCTCCCTGAAATTCATAATGAGGTAGACAGCTGCTAAAAAAGAAAGGGGAGGGGCTACCCCAAATATGGAGAGACAGCACAGAGGTTTCCTTCCACTCCTGCAACTTAACAACAAAGTTTCCTTATATTATATTAACAATTTCAAGCTACTCACAGCAAACCATCTCTTTTTACAGTAGTTTAAGTGTGTATGTGTGTATACATATTCATATGATATATACATAAGTTGTGTGTGTGCGTGTGTATAATTTGAATTATGATTGAATTATAATTACTGTATTGAGAGTCACATTCGTGGGTAAGACTTCAGTCTAGAAACCAGGAGACTGTGAGTTCTAGTCCTGTCTTTGGCATGAAAGCCAGCTGGGTGACTTCGGACCAGTCACTCTTTTTCAGCTCACGACACCAGGCTTGGCAGACAAGCTGGTCAGTCAATTCCTATCACAACCAATGCAGCAAAACTCAGTTGATTTGAAAAAGTGGACCACATACTTGTGGGGAAAATGCTAGAAAGGAAATAATTGAACTGTAAACCTACTCCAACAAACATCTATTATTATTGTTGTTGTTGTTGTCATTGTCATTATTTTAATTTATAATATCTGGGCTTTCTAATAATTTAGAACAGTGACAAGGGGATTATTTAGTAAACAAAAAGAAAAAAGGGAGGTTGGAGAGGAGGTCATTATAATTAGTACTTTTAGAAATTAATGACTCTATTAATCTAAATGTAACTAAATTCTTCTACCTCATATACAAACTGTACAGCTGGCTGGCTGATATGCCTATGAATGTATATAATAGTCTATTTTATACTTCTGAGATTTATTCTCTACTTATCACTTTGATATGGCCCAAGGGCTAATCAATAAAGTCTTATTATTATTATTACTTATCTCTCACCAAAATAAAGATACTGGATTTGATTTCCATGTTGGCTTAAATACATGGATTTCCTTCTGTTACACTTACAGAATAGAACTTTCGTACTACACTCCCACCACTTCCTGGTGTATTTTTTTTTTCCTGCTCCTGGAAATGCTATGATATATTATGCAGACAGCTGCAGCTGAAGAGGAAGTTAACAACAATAATTTCCCCCTCTATATGAATGGAGATGCAAGCTCCTTTCTGGTCCACATCTAGATGGTACAGTTTGCAAGTAATTGATCTCAAAGCAGAAGATTTTTACTTCTCACAGGTCACTGGAAAACTGGCTATAACTGTATATTTACAATGAAATTTAAATGTTTGTGAAGCCTTTTCAATTCTTCTATATAAATATGATATAAGACATGACCTATTCTCCACACAAGTTCTAAAGCTAGATAAAGAGAAAAAAGAGGGTCAAAAACATTATATTTGTTTATTCTTCTACTGAGGAAAATGTAAAGCTACATATTTGTGTCTACCTGCCCAGTTCTACTCTATGCTACTTGCTGTGTATGAAACTATAGCCACTATAAGATTACTGTTTTGTCCAAGAGTTACATAAAATAAAAAAACAGTAATGAGAAAAATATAAAGGAAATAATATAGGATAAATAAATAAATAAATAAATAAATAAATAAATAGATAAATAAATAAATAAAATAAAATAAAATAAAATAAAATAAAATAAAATAAAATAAAAATAAATAGTAAAGGAAAGCAAAATATGCCCAATATTGCTCTTTTTACCAGGGAAAATTAGGTGATAGTATAAGACAAATTTTAGTGGCCTATGAAAGAATCTGCTATGTAATCCAATTTTGGTCTATGATATTACTAGAAAATAACTTTCTTCAACTAAAAAAACACATTCTAAAACTTTAATTGAATAAATGTCCACATTTCCTCCCTTGGGGGAGAAACGAGCTGCAAATACACCATATTCTAAGTGCTAATCAAAGGCACAATAGATCAAAAACATTCTCCTTCTTACAGGAAACAGCTGTTTCTATCTATAACCTATGTTGTTTAAAGAACAGGATGGATGGAAAGTTTCAGCCTTATACTTACATGTGAGGCCTGAGTTCATAGAAGTTTCTGTTTCTGTATTCTTCCACTTTGTCTGCTGAATAAATTGGGAGTGATCTATATGGATTTATCGATATCACCACACTCCCGATGTAAGTCTGTAACAGAGTAAGAAAGTGTTTTTAGTAGGTGATATTGCAAATATTCCTACAAAATATATTAGCAACGGCTCAACTTATGGTATAGAGATATTCAATGCACTGTCAAACATAAAGGTTTCAATAAGTTTAATTCTAGACTTAAATATCTCTCACAATGATTGGATGTTTTAACCATTCCATTAAGGTTATAGATTAAGTTCAGATTAAATTAAACTGACAGCCAATTTTGTCTAATAGTTGGGATGTAGGACTAGAAATCAAGAGACTATCAATGCTACATTCTCTTTAGGCATAAAAGATGGCTGAATATTCTTGAGCCATTCATTTTCTCTCAGCCCAATACTTCTTACAGGATGAGTATTACATAACCTATCTTGAGTTAACACCAATAGTAACAGCCACCTTTAGGCAACATGCGGAGTACCACTTGAAAGCAAATCATCATCAGTTAATTGCAAATTGCAGCTTTACTTGAAATAGCTTGCATCCTGCAACGATACCTTTAACATCATCAAACATTTGCCTATCCTAGGATCTTGAGAATTGCTAATCGCAGGTCCTTGGAAAGAACTCCATAGGTGGCTAAAAATACAAAATACAGAGTCTGAACATTCAGCTGACTGTCTGATGAACCATCATCATCATCGTGAGCCATGGTGGTGCAGTGGTGAGAATGCAGTACTGCAGGCTATTTCTGCTGACTGCTGGCTGCCAGCAGTTTGGCAGTTTGAGTCTCACCAGCTCAAGGTTGACTCAGCCTTCCATCCTTCCGAGGTCGATAAAATTAGGACCCAGATTGTTGTGGGGGAAATGCTGACACTGTAAACCACTTAGAGAGGGCTACTGTGTAAAGCACTGTAAAGCAGTATATAAGTCTAAGTGCTATTGCTATCATCATCATCATCATCATCACCATCTCCCAATGAGGCACCATGATATGGTTGTGGGCTTGTGTGCTCTGAGGAAAATGAAACTATGCCAGTGGTTCAACCATGCTGGTCTCATCTGAGCAGCGAGATGAAGAGTGTCTCTCCCATAAAATAATATGGTGAGATGTAATTTACAGAAACTCATATTGGATTGGTCAAAGCCAGGTTCAATGTGTTGGAGTTCCTGGACATCTGATGACAAATGGGCTCAGGACTGTTGGCTGAACAACTAGGGCCAGCAGAGACAGAACTACTGAAAGAAAAATTGTTCATCTGTCACAAATATACAAATATTGAAAACAAAGAAATAATAATAATTCCTCCCAAGAATATGTTGTTGTACTCAGTTAAACATTCAACAGTGCTGGTGTCAATAGTTTTTTCCAAAAGTGTTTCTGTACCCTCCAAAGGACTTGGTTTGTGATCTGGTCATGAACTGAGAGTCCTTCTAAATTCAGCTGGCCCAGAATGCAGTACAGAGTAAAACTACAACTGAACATCCTGCACTAGTTATTAAATTTTTAAGCTTAATTTGAAGTGTTGGTTATTATCTCTATATGGCAAAGAACCCCACTATCGACTTCTTATACCCAGTCCTGTCCAGCTGCTCTACAAATAAATGTGTTCTTCTTTTAACATGTCTTGTACATGTTGAGGATTTTCCCCCTTATTCAGGTGTGGGGTTCTACCAGTTCGCACCTATTCACTAGAACTGGTTGTTAACATTCTAAGCAGTTCAGAGAACCGGTTGTTAGAAGAAATTACTGGCCTAATCCTGTAAGGAAGGCAGGAAAGAAACATTCTGGTGTTGCTTACAGAAACTGCCTCTCCGTTAACCCTTATTACATTCTTGGCAGGACTAGACTTTCTGTCTCAGGAACTTCTCTGGAGTTTTTTCCCCTCCTTTGCTGGTATTTTGCTTGTGTGGAGTGACCATTCAAAGTTACAATTGCACTGAAAAAAGTGACTTATGACCATTTTTCACTTACGACTGTTGCAGCATCCCCACAGTCATGAGGCCAGGTGAGGAGATGCGTGCCTCGATGTGAGTGATATTGTGTTGGCCACACCCAGCAATAACATGACCACCAAGCCATGTCCCACCAAGCCACACCCACCACCTAAGCCACACCCACAGAACTGGTTGTTAAAAATTTGAATCCCACACTTGCCCTTATTGTACTTGTGTGTGTGTGTGTGTATACACACAGACATACATACATGCATGCATACATGTATGTATATCTATATCTATATATGTATATGTATATATGTAAGTAATACCCAGGAAAAGTATTTGAGAATGCTCAGAAATGTCAGAACATCACCTCTTTAAAACAGTCACACATTTTTTAAGGAATCTGCATGTAAATTGCACAGTAATACTGTTATCTTATAAAAATTATCCAGCGGGATGCCTTCAGATCTATCAAACAACACATACCAAATTGAAATTATGAGAAATGAGTAACACAAGGGGAAGGGAGGGGAGAGTTGATAAGCTTGGCAAGCTAGTAGGATATAAGCTCCTATTCCAAAATGTGTATTTTACCATTAGTAAAGCTAAATGATTTGGCAACGGGTTTTTTTTTCTTATTGCATTGCATGTAAAAGTTAGCATAATTTCATTTTTTATTATTAGAAGGCAAAAGCAAAAGAAACAGCTGGAGGTGAAAATAGTTGAACTGTTATTTATTACCATGTAATAAAGAAAAGTTACAAGAAACAAAAAACGCTGAAGCAGCTAGAGAATAAATCTCATAGCTGAAAAATTCTATGGAGAAAATTTTATCTTTGGAAAACAGAAGGGGGAAAACTTGAAAGGTCACATCTAATGAGGATTGTAAATTAAGCTTCTCTGATATTTTGAAAATTAAAAAAACAGCTGTTCATTGGGGTATAACCCCAATACACCATATTCTAAAATAGCCAGTATATTCAAAGGTCAAAGAACTACAGTACGCTTAGAAAGAAGTACAAATGTAATTGCCATATGTAAACCAAAGAATGTCAAGAAGTTACTATTTCGGGTTGGGCCGTACTCAGGATTACGTTTTCAATGGGGACCTTTACAGTCCCCAACCTGGCAAACTTCAGATGCCAATTGTGTGTTCTGAATTTGCAGTCACACCAGGTTGGAAGAAACTGCCCCCACGTTCTCACTCCACAAATTTTATACTTTGCAATAGGGGAAAGTGGGGGCAGGGAAAAAGAATTTTCCCACACAATTTCCTCCTTCCCACTAGGATTTTAATATAAACAAATAGAGATATAAATGACTTAATTCCTTGAGCATGGAATGAGCGTAATTACATTCCATTGATGAAAACAAAACTCCTGGGGTAGTGGGAAGAAAAATGCCATGACATCTAAGGAATTAGAATATCCTTTACTTGTTCTTCTACTGCTGCTATTTTAGAACTTCATACCCCAAGGATGGGTCTCATGATTAAAGCACAGGAAAACAGCAGAAAATTTGGATTCCATTTCCTGCTTTACCACAGGGCTGGTTATGTGTTTGGACAACTAACTATTCAGGTTTTCTTCATAAAAACATGTTAAAACTTAAAAATAAATAATTCAATTGTTCTCTCAGTTTACCTACATATGGAAAATTTCTAACTGCTGTTTAATTGTAACTGTTTTTAAAACATACACTAATAACAAGTGCCTCTCTTTTTAAATATGCAAAGCCAATGCTGAATTAAACTAGAATGCTTTTCCATATCCTATGATGATTGAAAGATTTTTTAATCTTTTTTGGAGGTGGGGGTGTCAGTGAACACACATGGAGAACTATTAGAAACCCATCAACTGTTCCCATTTATAAAACAGCTGCAATGGCAGAAAGAAATGATTTCACCGTAATGGAAAATGATTGAGGCTACATGACAATATAGGTAGTCCTTGACTTACGACTACAGTTGAGCTCAAACTTTCTGTTGCTAAATGAGGCAGTTGTTTACTGAATTTTGAATTTGGATTCCCTGTTGCATTTGCCTGTCAGAAGGTCGCAAAAGATGATCACATGACTCTGGGACATGGTAACAATCATAAATACAAGTCAGCTGTCAAGCATCTGGATTTTGATCACATGACCATGGAGATGCTGCAACGGTCATAAGTGTGAAAAATGGTCATAAGTCACTTTTTTTCACTGCTGTTGTAACTTTGAATGGTCATTAAACAAACTGTTGTTATGTTGTGGGCCACCTGCAATTTATCCAAGAATCTGAGAAAACAGAGATGACAATTAGACCCCTGCTCCTGAAACTATACTTTTATGAATTTACACACATACATTTAGTCCACACCAAAAACATTTGAGATCCTCCCCATTTCAGTTGCACATATCCTGGTCTTGTGTGTTGGTGAAACACTCCCCACTTCATTCCTACTCTGTCAAAACATTCTTATGCTTTTTCCTGGTTTCCCCACTGCTATCTGCCCACAACAGTCCACCAAGTAAAGCCTTCCTTTCTTCTACTTTGGGGCAGACAGAGGGATTGGTAGCACTAGGATGGAGACTAAAGATCACAAACAACTGGAAGCCAAAGCTGCATTTTTAGTGCTGCTAGCAACCCATTCCTTTCGTAATTAAATCATTTTTAAAAAATGAATTTGAACTTCAATTTCTCAAGTACAGAGGCTATTCAAGAGTCTCTTCAAAAGTGAGATGAGCTGCATTTAAATTTAATAATAAATAAAAATTCAATGGGACAAAAATGCTATTGTTCAATAATAGTTTGAATCTTATAGTATCATGCCAAATAAATATTTTTAAGCTGTATCCCTCATAATTCCTGGCATGGTAACTAAGCCAATTTGACATGTTCCAAAATATCTGGAGAGAAATGGGCTGTCTACTCCTACTTCACATAGAAAGATTCCAACTTCAATTCCAGAGAGGTTTAGCAAAAACAATTAGGAAGTGGACAAGACTGAACTAGACCGACGGTTTAACTGTCATAAGATAGTTTCCATGTTTCTATAATTCTTTATGTTAATTAGTGCTACCCTTTCATGAATCTAGATTTAACGCTGAAAGGATTTCAGACATACAAATTG